ATCTATTTTACTGATAAAATGTTTGGGTAGATATTTTTTGGATTTATAGCCGCAAAAGTAAAAATTTATACGGTAACACTATTTTATTTTTTTACTAGAATTGAATCAAATGAATTAAAAATTAAATTACATGCTTTATATTTTTTAACTTCAAAAACAGTAAAATAATAGTATACACTAATAAATATTATTGAATAATTACTTATTATTGATGCTATATTTTGAAATGTAAATTTATTTTTATTCGTTTCAATACTGACAACTCGAAACCCAGCTTTTTCAAAAATAGTTTTGGTTTCCTCCAATGAATACACCGGCATATTAGCTTGCATAGTTTTCTGAAACATTTATAATAAGTTTTTTTTTGTAAGAGTATAATATTCTTTTGAAATTATAACAGTTTTTATCGAATCATTATTTGATTAATAGTTAAACATTATTTTTATAGTTATTAAGTATTTAAATATTTGTATATAAATTTTATAATTCAAACCAAAAAATTGCTAGCTATTGACTTTAATATTTGTACAAACATAAAATATATATGTACAACAAATTCATGAATTACTATAGTGCGTTATGTAATTCGATTTTCATGTAACTATTTTTGACTTAATACGACCTTAAGATTATCCAAATATTAGTAGGTATTTACTTTTGTATAAATTTGCCATTCTGGGTCCATTTTTTTATATATTTCGAGGTTTGGATTATTTAACAAATAGTGAATACAAATTTCTCCATTGTTCCTCAACATTGATTTCATGTTAACTAATGCATTCATTTTATTCCAAACCCAGTGAAAACAGAGAAATGAAAATATTTTGTCGAAGGTGTGTGCATACAAAGAGCATTCGTTTGCATTTTCAATATCCAATATTTTGAAATTTATATGAGAATTTTCGTAGGATATTTTTGCGTATTCGATAAATTTATGTAATTTATCAGCACAGACCTGAAATTAAATAAAACTTAAGGAATAATAACATTTTATATGATATTTTTCTGAAAATTTACTAATAACTTACCAACTGTTTGATTTTATTTTTGATAAGTGGATATAGAATATTTGAAGAAACATCACCTGGTCCACATCCTAAGTCTAAAACTACTTCATCAGTTTTCCAAGTCATTTTCTCAACAAATTTACGTATAACATCATTGGCTTCTTTTTGTTGATAATAATTATTACTAATGTAATCCATCACAGGACAATCCATTTTAACAAGCTGAGAACTGCACTAGCAACAATATATTACTATGTAAAAATTGTATAAATGCAATACTTGCTACTTAGCTAACTAACTTCTGACCAGGGTTTATAATGCAGCGATCGTATATTTATGTTCACCGCTAAGGCTTGAGTGTGTTTACTTTTTTGTATTTGACGATTATTTTCACATACGTAAGTACTTAAAAACCATACTATAATTGCCTGTACAAATAGATGCACAAATATTTTATACTTCATTGTAAAACTAATACAGCACTCTTTCCGTTAAGTATTACAAAATAACTCAATATACGGTATAATGATAATTGTCGAAGTTGTAAAAAAAAACATAACAACTTGATAACGACCGATGATGAACAAAGAAAA